GGGAGCCTTTTGACTTAGGCGTGCTTTGTCTCCATCTGGTGGCCAATTGAAGCTTTGCACCATCAGAAGTACTGCCTCTCCCCATTGGGATCATAATCCAATATGCAGGTGGCATCCAGAACTATTCCATCAGAAGGGCAGGAATAGGACCCAGGGTTATTCATTGATTATTTGTGTATTTAAAGATTTAGTTTTTACTGGAAAGTCAGATATACAGAGAGGAGGAGCGACAGAGAGGAAGATCTAGATCTTCTGTCCAATGAATCACCCCCAAGTGGCTGCAACAGCCGGAGCTGAGCTGAGCTAAAGCCAGGAACCTGGAACCTCCTCCTAGTCTCCCATGTGGGTGTAGGGTCACAAAGCCTTGGACTGTGCTTGACTGCTTTCCCAGGGCACAAGCAGGGAGCTGGATGGGAAGTGGGGCTGCTGGGATTAGAACCGGCACCCATATGGGATCCTAGTGTGTGCAAGACAAGGACCTCAGCCGCTAGGCTAATACACTGGGCCCTATTTATTGCTTTAAGCTAACAATTCACAGGAAATTCTGTGAAATTATGGTTAATAATTAGTGAACTAGAATAAACTCTAAGTCAGTGGTGAATACTGAACATTAATTCATTGCACAAGACCACCATCAAGTAAAAAGAGCCTAAGACCCCTTCAAGCTTTCCATGGTGCAGTTACTGCCAGTCGATCTGAATGGCTCTGAATAGCAGAGGACTTGCTGTGATGAGGCAGAAAGTGCCAAGCAAAGAGATGCAAACACACACACACGCATATCAGAGTCACACACGCACATATAAATACCACACACCTACACCTTCGCAAATACATGTACACAGTATATACACACACACAGAGGTAACGTGCCCACGTACACACATCAACAGCCATCCTTACCCCTGGCCAAACTATCAAGCAGTTTTTAATGATTTTGATGGGCTACTTTCTTACTTTATTTTTTCATTTAAGAACTGCAATGCAGTCTGTTGGAAAGGGTATAGATTGGTACAATCTTTTTAGAAAATTATTTGGCATTATCTCCTAAAATGGAGCACACTTAGATTAGGACTTGGTAATTTCACCTGTAGGTGCACTCCTGGAGACACATACAGGTCTAACAATGTTTACACCAGGGGCCCGGCGCGGTGGTGCAGTGGTTAAAGGTCCTCGCCTTGCACGCCCGGGATCCCATATGGGCGCCGGTTCTATCCCGGCAGCCCCGCTTCCCTTCCAGCTCCCTGCCTGTGGCCCGGGAAGGCAGTCGAGGACGGCCCAAAGCTTTGGGACCCTGCACCCGCGTGGGAGACCCGGAAGAGACTCCTGGCTTTGGATCGGCATAGCATCGGCCTGTTGCGCTCACTTGGGGAGTGAATCATCGGACGGAAGATCTTCCTCTCTGTCTCTCATCTCTGTATATCCGCCTTTCCAATAAAAAATAATAAAAATAAATCTTTAAAAAAATGTTTACACCAGACTGTGTTCTAAATAATCCATAATTGAAAATCTATGTGTTTCTGAATAGGATATATCAATTATAATATATGATGGAACACAATATGACAGCAAAATTGGAAAAAGCTACACATGATAAGTGGGCAAAGCTCCTAAGAGCAACTTTTCAGTCAGACATACACAATGCGTACTAGGGAACTTCAAAAAGTTCATGGAAATAAAATTTTAGAATGTTTGCATTGGTATGAAAAACCCTTGAAATTCATGTATGCAAGGCTGGCCCAGTGCAACAGCCTAGTGACTAAATCCTTGCCTTGTATGCACTGGAATCCTATGTGGGCAACGGTTCACGTCTCAGCAACTCCATTTCCCAACCAATTTCCTGTTTGTGTCCTGGGAAAGGCAATAGAGGATGGCCCAGAGCTTTGGGACCCGGCACCTGTGAGGGAGATCTGGAAGAAGCTGCTGGCTCCTGGCTTCAGATTGGCTCGGCTCCAACTGTTGCGGCCACTGGAGGGAGTGGGCCAGTAGACAGATGATCTTTTCTCTGTATCTCCTTCTCTCTGTGTATCTGCCTTTCTGATAAAAATAAATTTTTAAAAACAAAAAAATTCACGAGAATGTGTTTTATTAGAACATTACATAAACGATGTCTCGGAACCATTTCCCAAAAATGCCCTGTGGTTACAGTACAGAACACATGTTCCGACGCTATAGTAGGAACAGAAACTTAAGACATTTTTAAAAAGCACGGAAGAAGTTTGCACTTACCATTCTCAGCGCTCCTAAATTTGGCTATGACAGTCTGCATGCGATGGCATCTCATTTTGGCTTTAAAAAATTACCTTTTCAGCTTTTAATTGATGTAGGACATTTCCAATTTTTCCTCAAAGTTACCGAAGGTCCTTTGTTCTTGTGCCTTGGAAAGACTGCAGACAGCCACAGATCTCCCCTAACAGCTCTTCAGTGTTCTGTTGTTGCTGTTGTTTTAATTGCATGAGAGGCACAGAAGGAGCGCTTTCATCTGCTTGCTCCCTCTGCAGGTGCCTGTAGCCAAAGCAGGGAACCTAACGCTGGCCTCCACGGGGGCTGTTTGAGCCACTGCAGCTGATCCCGGAGCTGGAGGCGAGAACGCAGGCAGCTGTGAAAGCTAGGCACTGCAACATGGCTGCAGGCCTCCTAACCTCCAGCCCACTCAGCACTCTGGGAGGCCACTTAGGGATTGAACCAGCAGACGGAAGATCCTTCTCTCTGTGTCGCTTACTCTCTGTAAACTGGTCCAATTTTTTTTTTTTTTTAAAGATTTATTTTTATTATTTTTTCATTGGAAAGGCGGATATACAGAGAGGAGATACAGAGAGGAAGATCTTCCATCCGATGATTCACTCCCCAAGTGAGCCGCAACGGGTCGATACTATGCCGATCCGAAGCCAGGAGCCTCTTCCGGGTCTCCCACGCGGGTGCAGGGTCCCAAAGCTTTGGGCCGTCCTCAACTGCTTTCCCAGGCCACAGGCAGGGAGCTGGAAGGGAAGCGGGGCTGCCGGGATTAGAACCGGCGCCCATATGGGATCCCGGGCGTGCAAGGCGAGGACTTAACCACTTGCGCCACCGCGCCGGGCCCAACTGGTCCAATTTTTTAAAAAAAAGGACTTTTTCCTGTTGAATCACCATGACAGTCTTTACCAAAAAGCAGCTGCAAGAAACACGTGGATCTATTTCTGGACTGCATTCTACCCCATTTGTTCATTTGTTCTGTGTTGATCCTTGTGTTGGTTGCTACAGTTTTACGTGATCACAGGAATCCAGTCTGATATGACTAGGGTCACCAGGTTATGGCCACCATCTTGCCCACTAGATGACCATAGCATACCAGGGCTATGGTATATAGTGAGTTAAGCCTCTGTCTGCAGTGCCAGTTCCAGTCTAAACTGCCCCACTTCCCATCCAGCTCCTTGGACAACAGTGGAAGATGGCCCACGTCCTTGGGCCCTTACACCCATGAGAGAGACCCAGAAGATGTTTCAAGCCCTCGGCTTCAGATTGGCCCAACTCCGGCCACTGTGGAGTGAACTAGCAGATGGAAGTTCTATCTCTTCTCTTTCTGTAAATCTGCCTTCCAAATATCAGTAAGTAAATCTTTTAAAATAATTCTGTGGGGTTAAGATAATCTGCCACTCTTACTTGATGCTGGGAATATTTCCTGCAAATGTTAATATTTGCTGAAAAAGTCTAGGTACCTTCCCGTTGGTCACATGGCATTCCACATGTTTCTGTTCCTACACTGTAACCACAGAGCATTTTTGGGAAATGTTTAGGGTTCTCAAGCTTTGGTCTGATAAACTTCTTTGTGCAAAGTATGTGGAATCAAGACTGGGCTAGAGGAGAGGACATCTGGTCTCCCAGCTCCCCATACAGGTAAAGGCTGGGAGAGCAAGTAAAATGGTGCCTGTGGAAAAGATAAAGTGACGTTAAGGAGGAAAAGCAGCTGCCCTGCCATTTGTTTCCTAAGTACACGAACAGATGTGGAAGTTGTTCCCACAGGTCGGGATGAGATTTACAATCTGCAGATCTAACGGGAGGCTCGAACCTATGCTTTCTCTAAGATTCTGAGCAAACTGTTCAGCTTCCAGAACAGGATGACTCTCAAAGGCTTGATGTTAGCTATTGGTGTCAATTTAGAATACAAGCTGTTTAAAATACTCTAATACTGCTCAAGAGTCAGTTTTAGGTGAGCAAAGCAGCCCAGTCATCGTGGAACTACCAACAAGCACTGCCGGCAGGTACCATGGAGAATATGATGCTTGCACTGAAGGACTGAACTTCATTCAATAGCTGGGAGAGAGTCTGGTGAGGGAAGGAGTCAAGGCAGGCACTGCCCTTCCAGAAGGCAGATCCCAGGCGAGAAGCCTCGGTCTCATCATTAAGCATTCCCAGATGCTCAATCAGAGAATCAGACAAATGGCCCAGAAAGCTTCCCTGCTGCACTCAGGCACAAAGGAAAACTGGCCCCAGCTGCAGAGCCTCTGCACGGGGTGTGCACGTTCCCGAGCACGTGCTGACGGTGGGGGCTGGAGCACTGTCCTAGGCTGGCAGCAGAGCCCTCTGGTAATGCCTACTGGAGCCTGCTGGTCACCCCATGGTATCTGTCTAGGTTGTGACTGGAGTTGTGGCAAGGTGTGAATATAACTGTTGAGGACAGAAGAGGCTGGCTTTCCTAGCCTTTTAATCTTTCTCCAGTGTTAAAGACCAAGGGGGGAAAAATCTTCAGGGTTTGGGGTCAGTGATACTGCACCAGGAAGTCAGTCTCAAATACCAGGGTTGCTGTTTTACAAGTCATTTATTTTAAGTAGAGTGAAACTGAGCCATTTAACTAAGAAGCTGTTATCAAGACGTGGTCAAAGGGAACAAACTAGAGCTCACTGCTTTCTGCCTGAGGAACAAGGAAGGCAAGGAGTCTTGTCAGATCAGATGTAGAGATGTAGGCCGAGAACTGGCCACCGGGTTTTTCACTAGAACTGTAAAAACACACAGACGCCAACTCGAGGTTAAATGCAGGTGGTTTATTGTAAACAGGGTAACCCTAGCACTCCACACTGGCTGTGCCACATGCTTTCTCCATCACACCAGCTGGCCAGAAAGAGGGTTTTTTAAAATTTAAAGCAAAACAAACAAATTTAAAAAAAGGTCCCAGGCAACCAGGAACTCATGTGTTGCACACATCTTGTTTGCTGAGCCTCGAGTTGAGCAGCAGTGTCTGGGGTGGCGTGTTATTGCTCAGCGATGCAGCTTGGACTCATTTGAGAGACTCCGTTAGGAGATGCCTGAGAGATGCCGCGGCAGCTCGAGATCAGCTTGGAAACTGAGAAATGCCCGAGCAACTCAACAGCCATTGCAGGTTTGTGGAAGACTAGACCAAGTGTTTTTCTAACCTGCTTCATGTGCCTTTCTTTGAAATTTCAGTCATTAGGAAAAAAAAAAAAAAAAAAGAGTTAGAAGTTCCTCTACAGCACATAATTTTCCACAGAAAAAGTGGATTTTTCTTTACCCTTCAGGACTAATTTTTGTGCCACCTGGTATGTCTCTGCAGTTTGATGAAGAGCTGCATAGTGTATAAATGCATAAAAGCAGAAGGAAGTGATGAAGTTACACTCCCTCTGATGGACACAGACGGGCTTCGTCCAAGGCGGCCCTTGAAGGTTAAGGGTAGAAAGACAGTTACAGCACCACACGGATCTGACCGCAGGAGTGGAGCCCTGCTTTTCAAAGCAGGCCCGTAGTGTGACCGTATCATTCTTGCCCCAAATTGAGACTGTTTGGAAAACGGTAGTTATAAAAACTGAAGATGTGAAAAGACAGGACTCCGCAAAAAGAACCGGCAAACAAGCCACGTGAAAATGCCACTGCCTGAGTTAGTGGATGACAGGGTCATTTACTGTTACTCGTGCCCCCATGAGGAAATATATTCACAATTTCTCCTGAAGCAATTTTAATATAATAGTAGATATTTTCAAAATAATGAAGTTAATAATTTCACCTAAAATAGCATCTATGAAAAAAATATTTTTTTAAAAAGTCCACTCTAGTTACCATCTGATTGTATGTTGATACTTATATATTAAAAAAAAAAACAACACTTAAGGCAAGATTGGACTGGTAGCAATGAGGGACTTCGGAGTCTTAAAGAGACTTGCTATTTAACAATGTAAGATTAACTCTTCATTATCTCCAAAAAGGTGGCTTTATAGTTGTTGCCTTTTAAATTCATCATCGTGGATGAAAATATTCTGGTTCACATACTGACTGAGGTTACAGTAGCTGATGTTGGAGAAGCACGTCACACACTCAGCAGGATCTCGATTCGACCCTATCTGTACTCATTAAATAAATACAACATGTTGATCAGAAAAAGTCAAACTGATGAAACACTGCAAACCAACTATGGGCAACACGAACATGGATACGATTCAGTCAGAAGGAAAGAAACCACAGGAATCCTGAGAAATTCAGTTTGGGACAGAACTGATGTTAAGTACATCTGTACTTCTAGCACTGTAAATGAGCCAGGGCGCTCCAGTGTTTTTCCAGCAGCTTTACTAGTTGGAATAAAAAACATGTTCAAACCTTATAAAAAGATTAAAACCATGCCTTATATAACCAGCAATTTTACTAACAAAAGAAAATTATGTTACTCTGTTCATTTTATGTCAAATGTAAAGTTCTCCATTAACACCAAACTATCACAGGTAGAAAGTAAATTTGGGCTAAGTTGTTTAAAAAGGTATTGCCTTTTTAAATGTCTTGAACTCTTGTTAACTTAAGCAGGCTTTAAGAAAAAAAAAAAAAAACCTAAATTTAATTTTCTTTGGACAATTGACTATTTTACAGAATAGGGAAGAAAGGTTCTATAGGAATATCATTTGTCATTTTAAGCACTGTTATATAAGGGAAATTTCTTAGATGTAAAAAGAAAAAATTTAAAATATTTAAGAGGCATGTGTTTAAAAAATATTCTACATCTATAAGATTCTGTAATTTATTTTGGATTTTTAATATTTCTACATAATGACATTTGACAATTCCTTTTTATCTGTCTTTCTACAAGTGAATCAGAAACTCCTCAAGGAACCCAGACGGCTCCCCTAGGCCCCGGAAGACTCAGGAACGCCTCCACGTGCATCTTCCCAGCTGCGGGAAGTCTTCAGAGCTTGGCAGCCATGAAGTTAATATGTGGCTTCACCAGGGGGAACAGGGGCAAACCGCGCTTGAACTCAGTCATGTTCTGAATCACTTCAGGCTGAAAAAGCGAAAAAAAAAAAAGATACACACACCAAATAAATTTAGCCTACAAATCAGGTTGAGGACAGGACATCAACTTTTTTTGCGGAGAGGTACGCACTGGTTTCTACCTTCTACGTGGTGGCCTGCTGGTCCTGGGTCACCAGGGCCAACAGGGTCATTGACTGTCCCGTGCCAACCTACGACAAGTGCCCCAGTTGGGACTCTGCCCCACAGGGAAGATTTCTGCCTTTCCTGTGCACACACAAAAGTTGGCTCCACAAAGGCTCAGCACCAAGGCTTCCGCAGGGTTACAGAGAGGGCCTGGTCTCAACTGCCAATGTGCTCATCCTGCAAGTGCATGCCAGCCTTTGTAAATGATTACAACACATGGGCAATATTCAATATTTAGAAAAGATGTGGCCAGAGAGGATTCACTGCGCAGTAACACGCGTGTTCCTACAAGAGGCAGAGGCAGGGTGAAGAGCACTTGGAGGAGACCCCAAGAGAAGCTGGAATATCTGGTGACCTGAGACTTCTGTCTTTATGTGCTCTAAGGAGGAAGTCCTGATAATACAATCTAGCGTCATAGTTACGGTTCTTACTTGTGGCAAGGCTGGTGCTTGTGACAAATTTATATCATTTAGACATGGGAACTCTCCAACAACAGGGCCTATAAGAAAACAAAGGGTTTAATGATTTGCACTTCCATTAGCACACGAGAGCAACTTTCACAAGAAACCTGAAGCAGATTCAGTCCATGACCAGACTCGCTTCTTGGGTCCCTCAGATGTGCCCAAGGCCCCTCCTCTCTGCAGGGTCCAGTAAAGGCCCTTCACGCTAGGAAGGCCATGGAGTCATGGCTGCGGCAGCCTGCGTGCCCAGGTCTGATCTGACTGGATGCTGAGGCTCTGGTCACCCAGAGTTAGGCAGTCAAGCAATCCGGAAGGCCAGCGCAGTTAACATCAGGCCAACGGCTGTCAGCAAGTGACAGGAAGGCTGGGACAGACAGCTGGCTTGCCCCCACTCCAGCCTCACGCAGTGGTGCCAGAAAGCCTCTCTGGGGGTGCCCCACCTGCTACCACAGGGTGTCCCCACGAAGCCGTAGTTCTGTCCTTCATGGCTTCATTTTCCCCTTCCCTCTAACTGCTGCTTTGGCACAGCAGACTGTCTCCTGCTCCTTTTGTCTACTCTTTCACTAACTGATGCCACTTCAGCATGTGGCAAAGGGACAACCATCAGGTGGTTCAACATGAACCTAAAGAAATACGCTTCTCAAAGAAATCAGCATTCAATACTTACAAGAATCCATTTCCCTGGCAAGAACGTGGACGGATACCTTGTGTCTCCTTGGAGCGTCAAGTGCCAACATTTCCTGGACAGAAAGAAGAATGTGGTCTCCCTTTTGCTCCACCAAAGAACTTAAACTGATTACAAAGAATCAGCTTTTACTCAGTTACATATCAAAAAGTTGTTTCTTAGGGCTGGGAATTTCAGGTGGGTTTACATTCCAGGTTCCAATTCTGTCTTATATATAATACATATATTAAAAGGTGATCTGGGGCCCAGCGTGGTAGCCTAGTGGCTAAAGTCCTCGCCTTGTATATGGGTACTCGTTTGAGTTCTGGCTGCTCCACTTTCCATCCAGCTCCCTGTTTGCGGCCTGGGAAAGCAGTCGAGGATTCCCCAAAGCCTTAGTACCCTGCACCTGCGTGGGAGACCCAGAAGAGTCTCCAGGTTACTGGCTTTGGATCAGCTCAGCTCCAGCTATTGCAGCCATTTGGGGAGTGAATCAATGAGCAGAAGATCTTCCTTTCTGTCTCTCCTCTCTGTGTATCTGACTTTCCAAAAAAACAACAAAAAAAATTTAAAACAAAAACAAAGGCTACACGTGGAGAAGAGCAGGAGCAGATGAGATTCTTGTCTTCCTCTGTATCAGGCAAAGGGAATCATGAGGTTAAAAACAAAGAAACAAAAAACTTGTCGAGCTGTCTATTTCCACAACCAAAATGACTGAAATCTCACTGCTGAAAAAGCCACATTCAGAACACCGGCTTTTACTATTGAACCTATAGCCTGACACTCTCCTTTCTTAACTGGCTGTCCTAACACTTCTATGCAGACACAGAGAAACACTCCCTTGTACTTTTGAAGAAGCAGCTTGTGGACAGTGATTTTCCTCCAGGAAACCATGAGTGCCCGTTTTCACGTAGGATATTCGCAGTAAGCTGCTGGCTCCTGGTTCTGCTCTGGCCTAGCCCTGGCCACTGCAGTTATTTGGGGATTAAGCCTGCAGACGGAATATTTGTCTCTCCTTCTCTATTTCTTTAGCTATGCCTCTAAAATAAATAAAATACATTTATTTTAAAAAGAAGATATTTAGTATTTTAAATAAATACAGCTTTATTGCAAAAGCCAAAAGTTTTGAATTTCTTCACTTATTTTTTGTTATGTATTTATTCAGCACGTGAGAGAGAAACCTTCCAACTGCAGGTTTGCTCCCTGCACACCTCCAACGGCCAGGGTTGGATCAGGCCAGAGGTGCCTGGAATCCCATCCAGGATCCTCATGTGGCTGCCGGGCACCCAGGGATTTGAACCATGATTTGTTGTCCCACAAGATGCATTAGCAGAAAGCTGGATGGGAAATGGAAGAATTGGGACTGGAATTGAGCTATGGTCATGCCAAGAGAGACAGCTTAATCTGAAATGCCACAACATCTATCCCCTCTTAACATGGTACTGGGAAGCACCCTTATTTATTTATCTATTTACATTTGAAAGGTAGACATTCACATGTGACACACACTCTCTCTCTTTCTCTCTCTCACTGGTTCACCCCCAAATTCCCACAATAGCTGGAATTGGGCCAGGTTAAGACTGGAAGTTGAGAACTCTGGGTCTCCCCTGTAGGGAGAAGGGATCAACCACTTGGGCCATGATATGCTGCTCCCCTGGGCACACATTTGCAGCAGCTGGGATCAGCAGCTAAATCAGGACTTTAACTCAGGCACTGGCACACACAATACAGGAGCTAGGAATTTAATCTAGGCCTCTCACACGGGTGGTAAGAGGCCATCACTTGAGCCATCACCACTGTTCCCTGCATTAACAAGAAGCTGGAGTTGGGAATTAAACCCAGGAAATGGAATGTGGAGTGCTAGCCACGAAGCAAATGTCTATCCAATTTCCAGATACACTTTCTCAATGGGCACAAACACAACACTCCCAAGACCTCTGAGCACAGTTCAAGGTGAGTAATAATTTGTTTGAAAAAGCAGCCTCAGGGGCACCTAAATGAGTGAAGGCAGCTTAGACTTGTCAGATTTTGGAAAACAATGTCACTCAGAGTTCTTCTGTTTTCTTTGCTCTTCTTCCCCATTAAATAGCAAAGTAATCCTCATTGAGGGGGCAGGCTGGGAACAGAGAAGAAACAGAGAGGAAGCCCAAAAAGGAGGATTTGGAACCAGCACCACAGGCCTTGGTAGAGAGAGGAAAGCAAACATGGGGGTTCAACAGGAATTGTCTGCATTTGTTTTTCTAACAGTAATAAGTGTCTCTGTCAAAAATATGTAAGTCTACAAAACTCCTGCATCAGTGCAGCCTCGATGGGTTTAAAGTAATAATACACACAACACAGCCCATGCAACAGTTCCTTATGAGCCAAAAGCTAAATAAACGAATGCAACTTACCTTATAAAATTTGATGATATCATCCTTGGTAAGTGTCTTTAAATACGCAACTTCTATATTATCTTAAAGAAATCAAACAGTAACTTATTAACATTTGCCTTAAAATAGTCACTCATTCATTTTAATTTACTTGGGAAGAGAGGAAGACACAGAGAGAAAATGGCCATCTGCTGGTTGGCTCCCCAAATGCTGGCAGTGGCTGTGGTGGAGCCAGGTCAAAGGGAGTAGTTAGGAACTCAATCCAGGTACCGGAGCCAGGGATCCCATTACTTGAGCTAGCACCTGCTGCTTACCAGCATTCATATTAGAAGAAACCTGGGTCTCTGCTTATGGCCTGAGAAGGCAGTGGTAGACGACCCAAGGCCTTGCGACCCTGCACCCTGTGGGAGACCTAGAAGAAGCTCCTGCCGCCTGGCTGTGGATCAACTCAGTCCAAGTCACTGTGGCTATTTAGGGAGTGAACCAGCAGATGGAAAAGTTTTTCCTCTTTCTCTCTGTAAATCTGCCTCTCAAAAATAAATAAATCATAAAAAAAGGAAGCTGGAATTGGGAGTAAGGCCATAACTTTAAGCCAGGCACTGTAATATGAGATATGGATCTCCTAAGCGGCACATTAATTGCTAGGCCAAACACTTGCCCCTCATATTTCCACATTAAGTAGTCCAGAACACCATAATAAATGACAATATAATTTAATCAAACACTCTTAAGTGATCATATGCTCAATACTGGTAGGAAGGAATAGTTTCCAAATTAAAATAAGAGATGTGATGCATGGAATAAGCCTTTGCTGGGGATCCAGGCCAGCCTGGACTCATCACCTGACTGTCACAAGGTGGGCTAGTCATTCCAACTTTTCTGAGCCATAGCTTCCTCCTCTGGAAACTTGCGATAATAATGACTTCATGGAGGAATGGTGAGAATTTAGAAAATCTATGAGGGTACTTCTAAACATTAGTGGATGAATGACACATAGCTAAACGCTTTTAAATTGTAGGCAAATAAGGAAGCCAGCATCTAGAAAAATTACAGGTAAGGAATCTGTGGCTCTCCAAAAGGTGACTTAGTCAAGGCCTTCAGCAGCTGGCATCAGGGTGAGAACCTAGCCCAGGTCCCTTGATATCTAGGGTGTCTTTGGGCACTCCTCTGTTAGCCTCTGAGAGGAAACTTAGCTGATGGACTGCAAAATATAGGAAAAATAGTTTTTCCAAATCTGAAGGCAGTGACACTCTTCGGAGATCCCTACAGGCAACTACGTGAACTTAGAGCAAAACCTGCTTCATGAGAGTTTAATCTGCAAACTTTTCTTTTGGTGTCTCTGTGTGTAGGGTCTCAGGTACAGTGACGGAACAAAAAGCAAAAAGCGAAGTTAAATTTGTTCCCACATTAACACACTAATATGAGAAAAGCAGATCTGACTCAAGTTTCTTACAGGAAATTGTTATGTTAAACAACAGCTTAGAGGTGCCAGTTCATTCCCACATCAATACTTGAATATCACCTACAAAATGGCAGCCACTCCAGAATGGCTTCAATGCTCTCAAATGTGACACTTAAATGCTAACAATGCTAAGTCCTAAGTTTACCTCTATCAAAATTGTATTGTTGGGAAATTATTTCTCCCCAGTATTTAGCACACTCTGCGGACAGTTTCTTTGGTTTGTCTAGTCGACGAATTGCTAATGCTTGAATGTGTTTCTGGAAAGCCTCCTCCGTCATGTCCTCTATGGATTTTTCCATGGTCATTAGAAAAGCTTCCACTCTGCTTTCCAAGTAGTGAGGAGGCTTCTCGGACTGCATGATGAACCGCAGGCCCTGGATGCCGTTGGCTCGACGCGGGCCACTGAAGACGATATACCCTGAAACACACACACACCAGACACTCAGGACTCTGGCATGAAAGACCTGGGTCACTTTGTATTCAAATTATCCTGTGAGACCAAAGAAAATCTTCTTTATGGTTCAACCAATTCATTTCTGAAGAAATATGAACAATGAAGATGGTCTGAGTTCCCAGAGACCAAACAGGAGAGTTTCTTGAGGAAGCCAAAAAGTTGGAGATGGCTTTCTCTTCTTCAGGACAAAACTTATTCATGATTCAAACTCATAATCTCCATAACCCCTCACTCCCTTAGTCAATCCCCTTCTGTCTGTGCTAGTTGTTCCCATTCCTAGGAAAGATGGTACTCGTTCTCATCTCTCAACCACCATCCTAGCTCTGTGTTCCTTTAGCATTTAAGTCCCTTACACATAAAACTGGCTCTACTACCATAATGTGTTACAAAATCCACATCTGGACCAACTCAAGTCAGATTGAATTCTCTAGGAACTGGGCTAATACAAGGCCATTTCTACTGTCATGTTCTGATACCATTTACTTCCTCCCCGCCTTTTTTATTTGTGCCTGAGATGGTTGTATTTATCAGGAAGATAGGCCTGTTTGTAAGGTCTCACAGAAGAGATTTGTCAGAGAGGTGACAGCCAGATTTCTGCTAAGGACAGATTGGACAAGGACCCTCATTTATCTTAGCTGTCTATTTATTTACTTAAAGACCCCTATTAAGCTATTGTAATTTAGTGCCTATTACATTTCTCTTTGTTTTCACATTATTACTCTAGTACTGCCCCCTTTCAACACCCTTCCTAAACCAATCTCTTCTCTTACTTGCTCTGCATGGATCCACTCCCACTGACAGCTGTGGTGCCTCTGGGGCCTTCTTATTTCTGAGGAAGCCACCATCGTCAGCTATAGAAGCTATAGAATCTATATGTGAGCACTCTTACGATACAGTGCCCACATGGTACTATATGAAACCCTTTACAGATCTGCCACCCTGATTTGACTGTGAGCTCTCTAATGGAAAAGACTCCCCCTTAACCTACTCACTTTTAATGTCTAGCACCTAGCAAGTGCTAGGTCCTTAGACTCAAATCCTTTCTCACTGGTTCTTCTCTATCATTAAAGAGGCATCTTCTCACTTCCTTCCTTATTGATCACAAACCTGCCAGCATTTCTGAGCAGCAGCTAAAGCAGTGCAGTTACTTACTGGGTGTGTTCTGTGTGTCCCAGAAAAGAGGCATTAGTTGCCCTCAGGGAACTCCTGGTCTGGTGAATTGAAGTGCCTCCAATTTCCCACTTTGCTACCCCTGAAACTTCACCTTGGAATCCCCTTCTAAATGTTCTCTTTATTGATATGCATGCAAACTTCACTCTGCATTGCATCATAAGAACTGATTTAATATCTGAAAGATACTGGTAGTTTATCTTTTAGAAGTAGATTTCTTGTAAGCAAGGTTTCCACAAGCCTTTCTGAATAGAGGATGCCTGGTACACAGTACCTGGCTATCCCACACATGGAAAATGTTTTCTGAGGACAAATGTTGTTCGTCAAAGTTTCCCGTCTTCTGCGCCTCCCCCTCCGTTCTCACCCAGCTGCTCCTTGGTACGCAGGGTGTTGAAGCAAGGCTCAGAGATGATCTGACAGAAGAGCTCTAGAAACATGTTCTCTGAGGTGCTCTGCATGTCTGTTTGGTAGTATATCTCGATGCCACAGTTATTGTGAACTTCATTCCTCTGCTGATAAACAAACCATCCTCCTGGAAAGTTTCAAAAACAGCAACAGGTTAAAAAAAATAGCAAGCTGGGCCCAGAGTAGTGACCTAGCGGCTAAAGTCCTCGCCTTGCATGCGCTGGGATCACATACGGGCACCGGTTCTAATCCCGGCAGCCTCACTTCCCATTCAGCTCCCTGCCTGTGGCCTGGGAAAGTAGTTCAGGATGGCCCAAAGCCTTGGGACCCTGCACCCATGTGGGAAACCTGGAAGAGGATCTGGGCTCCCGGCTTCAGATCGGTGCAGCACCGGCCGTTGTGGTCACTTGGGGAGTGAATCATTGGATGGAAGATATTTCTCTCTGCCTCTCCTCCTCTCTGTGTATATCTGACTTTGCAATAAAAATAAATAAATCTTAAAAAAAAATAGCTAGCTAATACTCCATCTACAGTGCCAGACTCCCATAAGGTTGTGGGTTGTATCCTGGTTGCTCTACGTCCCATCCAGCTCCCTGCCTATGGCCTGGGAAAGTTAACCGAGGATGACTCATGACCTTGGGTTCCTGCACCCACGTGAGTGATACAGAAGAAGCTCCTGGCTCCCAGCTGCAGACAGTCCATGTGGGCAGTGAACCAGCAGAGGGAAGACCTCCCTCTGCCTTTCTGTCCTCTCTATGTAAATCTGCCTCTCAGACAAAAACAAGCAAATCTTAAAAAACAACAATCAGAAACCCCCTCATTTAGGGTTCAGGAAAGTAAGCACTATACCTGCTAATTCTCACAAATGATCATGGAAGCATCATTAGTGAAAGGAGACAGAGAAGCTTACAGTTATATTTCCTGTATTTCACTTTTTCAACCAGGTCCAAGTGTGATAGTCAAACTCTCTAACTGTAAACAAGCCGCATGAAGCACTTACTAGAAGAGGGAGAGGAGTGTAGGCAGTAAGCACTAATGCTCACCCCTCATCGTCTTATATTTCTCCACATGCCCCTTCCTTCATGATATGCAGAACCTTCCCTTTTCAACTGTAAATGTTGGGGCTGGTGTTACAACACAATCGGTTACACTGCTGCCTGTGATGCTGGCAGTGGAGTCGATGGCCTATTCCATAGGCCTGGAGGAGGAGGTGAGTGAACACACAGTCCAATAAGGAAGAAAAGGGAAGAGGGAACACAGCTGTAGAATGAAACAGCAGGGAGGCAAAGCAAAAGTGACACACATGTGAAGAGCCAACAATCAAGTATGGGCAAAAAAAAAAAATCACCACTCTTATTTTTGGTTTAACATATTTCCCATTATAAAATGTTCAAATACTAAAAACATTTTTTGATGAATTGTTAAATTTCATTTATTTGAAAAGCAAGGTTACGAGAGAGGGGAGAAGAGACGGGGCAGGAGGAGAGAGAGTGAGATATTTTCCATTTGCTGGATCACTTCACAATGACCTCATTAGCCGGGGCTGGGCCACACTAAAGCCAGGAGCCTAGAATTCTATGTGGGCCTCCCAAGTGGGCAGCAGGAACCCAATCCTTGGGTCATCTTCCGCTGCTTTTCCAGGCGCTCAAGAGGAGATGGATTGGAAGTGGAATAGTTGAGACTCAAACCAGCACTCACGAGGCAGCACAAGTGCTAGACAGCTTATAGCATAATGCCAGTGCATTTAATGGGTTTTTATTTCAAGAGAAACTGCTTGCTGTTAATGTTAAAGCAACCCAAGATTTCAAACCCCAATAAAAAAAATTTATTTAAATAAATTCTTTAATTCCCCACATCCACATAATGAATATACAGCTGCCATACCTGCGGTTTTCCTAACATCATTCTGGCCAAAGACTCTTCTAAGCATCCAATGACATGCCGCAATTTTAATTTCCCATTACATGGATTTTATTGTGTGCTTCACAGGCAATGGTTCTGATTTTTGTGCTTATTTTACTTTCCAATTCCCCTCCCTTCAAGTACCAGTACATTTCATTATTATTTCCAGTTTCACCTTTTTGGATCTCCTACCAGAGAATTACCTTCCTCTAACCATATTTCTGTAAGTAATAGATAGTCCCAATGGCTCTTTGCCATAAAACTATGCATTATTATCCAAATGAATTCATCCTGTAACCACCCACAGTAATATGTCAAAGTATTGCATCCCCAAAGTCACAATACTTCAACTTACTGTCAGGGAGTTGAACTTCTCTATAGCGAACCAGCTGACTTGGAAGGAGAGGTTTGGTATGAGCATGTTCAATAAGCGTGTCTTCAACCATTTGCATAATACTTAATGCAGCCTGGGAAAAAAGATATTCACAGCACATAACAAAAAGCCAAATGTATCATTTGTAAAAAAGAGTATGCAGCATAGTCAACTACAATATGAAAACATATTTGCAAAGTCAACTAGTTAATCTTAAGAACATATGATCCTTTTAAAATAGATAAAAATGAAATCTGTCAGTCAAAGTGATAGTTGTGAAGAGAAATAGAGCGCCAGCCAGCCATCACCGCCGATATCCATGCTGGACAGAAGGCAGTGCCAGAGCCAGAGAGGTGCAGTTGGTGGGAAGCTGACTCCAAGTTAATGACCCTGATGCAAAGCAAGGAGGTCAACACAGGCTTTATAGGGAAAGACACAAACCAGTAAGAATCCTGTTTTAGCAGCCCCTGAATATGGACATGTTGTTTTGGAGACAACACAACACAGTGGTGGTGCATGGGCGCTCTTGAGATAGAATGGCTATGGAAATCTGTACTGTTTTCCATGAGTTAAGCCCTTGGCGGGTACAATTTAATCTATACAACCTACTGATGTAGGTGCTCTTAATCTTACAGATAAGGAAACAGAGCACAGAGTTAAGACATTTTCAGAAGATTACATATCCATTATGTGTCACAGCCAATGTTTGAATCCAGGCTGATTCCAGATTATGTTGTCCCGGACAAAAAAGGGATTATTATTCCTGTTTCCTCCTACGAGTGTGAGAGGCAGGCTGCAGCCATGAAAGCAGGTCCTTGCTGAGCTAACATCACAGGGCCCTTTGCCTGAGCTCTCTCGCACCTTCCTCCACAGTGTGGAACACAGCTAGCTGTGTGAACCCTGAAGTGCTCATTACCATTGCACTCTGCTAGGATACACTGGGTAACTCTGGAGACAAACTAGAGAGAGAAGAACCTTTTGCACTGATCCTCAGTCACCTGCTTTGTTATGTTTCCATGGAGAAGGGCCTCAATGTGCAGTCGTGACAGGAGCTGAGGGATGAAGGCCTTAAGACGGGGAAGGGTGACATCTGTAAAGGCGTGAGAAACAGTGAAAAACCAACAAAAACTGCAAAAATATTACAGAACATTCTTAAATATCTTCTGCTTCTCCCTCTCTGTAACTCAGCCTTTCAAATATTTTGTTTCTAGAATATATACTTATTTATGCAAGAGTGAAAAGGAACAAGTGCATTGGTTCACTTCCCAAACGCCCACAGTGGGTTGGGCTGGGCCAGGAAGAAGCCCATAGCCAGGAACTCAATCTACATCTCCCATGTGGATTTCAAGAACCCAATAGTTGAGCCATCACTGCTGTCTCACACAGGATCTACATTAGCAGTAAGCTGTGGTCAGGATGTGGAACCACTGAACTCAAGTACTCCAACATGCGGCATGGGCATCTTAACCACCAGACCAAGCGAACGTTTTAAATATTACCAGGCTGCAGTGCAGGACCAGGCACCTGGCAGAGTGAGTAAACGCTGTTGGACTACATTGAACTCTGAGGTTCCTGCTGTTGTGGTACCAAAATAGCTGAATGACTTAAGAGCTACTGGGGGAGCCAGCATCTCACACTGAGACGTCTGTAAATTGAGCTATGTTGAAAAAAAAATTATGCTATGCTGGTATTTTAAGTTATTGCAAACATATATTTATCACAACAGGATTACTATTTATTAGAGAACTTCAGCCAAAACAGTACTGACCTGCCCTTTTAAGACAAATTTTAGACTTTATTTGCCTGTGAGATGTCACAGCTTACTCTGCTTAAAATCCATATGCCACCTGACCTAGATTCTAACATAGGGAGCGGGGAAACAAAAACATAAATCTTTTTGATCTTTAAAATAGATAGAGTTCTTAAAAACATATTTTAAATAAATTCTGTGCTGTTTTTCCTAAAAAAGGTAAAAATTCTTGCTAGTAATTGCACAGGAATCATAATCATTTTGCAAAGAAAACATACTAACTGCTGAGAAAAAAGACTCTTCTAGTTAATGAATTTAAAATCTAGCTTTCTACCTAATGCTTGAAGTAATAAAATAATGAATTGAATACTTTGTCCTTGGATTTGTCACTGAAGACATTAATAGCACAGTGTTACACAATAAATAATTACATCATAAAAGATTATTAAATTTTTAATGAAATTCTTTCTTTAAAATTGCATTTTAATTCTTATTACTGAACATGGAGGAAGGAAGATTAATGGATGAGGTAACATTGGGAAATAAAAAATAATAATAAAGGGTGATGTTAGTCTACATTTAGTCTCATTATATTCAATGGTAGTTCATTAGATGTATACTGCAGGCATTACTCGTGTACAGGTACTAACTAAGAGATACAAGGAAGCCATAGTCACTGTTCAAAGAATTTAAAACTCCTAAGCAAAACTAGTGAAAACTAGACTTGGGGTTTTAGGAAAAAAAAACAACACAATCCAAGGATGACTCCCTAAGTATTTTCCAAACTTTAACTGAACTGAAGATGGAGCAGGAGAAAATGCCTAAAAAAAATCTCCTTTCTGAAAACTTCAATACTAATAAGGTGGGTTAAGGCACTTGGTCTTTTATAAAAATCTATGAATTTGTGTATATCCTGGTTGAAAATAGCAAATGTAGGAAAACTGCCTGAATACAAAAGCCACTTCCAAGGCTATTGTTATTTTTATGACAAACATTTGGCTTTCCTAGGACTATACGTTACTCAAAAGTACCAACACCCGATGAACAACACATTAGGCTTTAAATAGAAATGATTCTTACCATCCAGGGCCTCTTTTAACTCATCTTTAGTCCAAGCCACTTCAGTCATCAACAAACGGAGGTAGTACATGGCATGCTGGTGAGGCTGTTCAGCCCGGAAATTGTTAAGAGATCGCATATACTAGTGAAGGGAGACACACAGGCTTGTTAATGCTGGCACCATCTTTTCAAGATCATTTTAACAGATCAGCTGCAATCAAATTTTATTTTGTATATAAACTATGTGTTTATATACAAAATATACAAAAGAATCTTTCTTTGTCCTCCTAATATTGTATACTCAGAAGAGGCTTATTTCCCTCTGATCTTGAAACCAAAGGGAATGTTTTTCTTTGTCCAGGCTGCTTCCTCACCCCCTTACATTTTTATTAATTTATCTGAGAGGCAGAAACAGACACAGAGTCACAGAGTGCCTGTGTGCTGGTTCCTTTCCCAAGTGCCCACACTGGCTGGGACTGGGATGCCGAAGTTCAGAAGCCAGGAAAAAACAACAGAGGTTTCCCATGTGGGTAGAAGACACCAAGTACTGGAGCCATCGTTTGTGGCTCCCCAGGGCCTACACTGGCAGGAAGCTGGGATCAGAAGGCAGGGTCAAGAACTGAACCCAGGCACTCCAATATGAGACACCGGTGTCTTAACCAGAGTCAACTCCTAGAACAAACGCCAACTGCCAGGCTACTTCTTTATCCTCCTCAGACATAACATGTACTCTAAGTGTCTTCACCATGGGGCATCTCTTATCTCTCCAGTTTTCAGAGTCTCAGTCTTTCAACATCCTGTGATTTTACACATATGGCCATCTCAAGTCTCCATAAGCAACATGTACATATATCTTGCATCACCATCTGAAAACAATGGTAGTTTATATTATACGATGAAGGTCAAAGCTTAACTGTCAAAACTATCCATCCATACTTCCATTACTGGGCCAGATGCAGGAAGAACTGAAGTGGAAGACACACCGAACCTAAATAGTGTGATGGAATGTAATGTGGTTTTTACAGGAGGGCAGACCTTAGTCTGCTGAAACGTGTGCTCTTCTCAAATAAGACTGAGACAAAACCTTCAAGAAATCCCTGATAGCCCCTAGGTGCTTCTTTTTTAAATGTCAGAGGTGTTGTAGCTAATATTGTGGTGGAGAGGGCTAAGCTGTCATGTGGGATCCTGGTATCTTATATGGCAAATGGTCTGAGTTTCGGCTGCTCCACTTCTGATCCAGCTACTTGCTAATGGCCCTGGAAAAGCAGCAGAGGATGGCCACCCTGTGCCCATGAGGGACACCTGGAAGAAGCTCCTGGCTTCTGGCTTCGGCCTAGCTCAGTTCCAGCCATGAGGCCTTTGGGGAGTAAAGCAAAATTAATCTTTTCGTCCCTGTATCTGACAATCTTTCTTCTAAATTAAAAAATATATATATATATGTATGTATATATATATATATGTATGTATTAATGTATATATATATATGTATATATATATATATATAAAAATATATATATATATGTATGTATATATATATATATATATATTAATATTAAGGAAAGAAAAGGAAAGAAGAAATGCAAGAGATGCAATTGCACTAGGCCCACGGCTCACGGAAAGGCGGGCTGGATGTCCATTAGCGTCTGCTACTTTTCTCTCTGGGTGGGCTATAGGATTTAGCAGATGAAATGAGACAAATGCAACAGAATTACATTTGCTTCCTTTGTTCCTCTCCCCTTTTCCAAATATTTCTTATGTCGTTTTTTTTTATGAACAGAAGTAAATGTAAAACAAGTCAGAAAACTTACTGCCTCTTTGATAATTTCAAATCTCTTTTCATCGATCTCAAAGGTAGCCATTTTCTCAGTAATCTTCTTTAGCAAAATCGGCTGCTTGTCATTATAACCCTTCACTGAGAGCTAAAGAAAAGGATCAGGGTATAAAGGTTAAAAAAAAAAAAGAAAGAAAGAAAAGCAAATGAAACAACTTTTAAGTAAACATCTTAAATTTACTTTTTAAATATTTAGAAAATTCCAAAGATGAGTATGTTAAAAATAAAAACAACTTAACTTCTCATACAGTTCGACACTCAAGGAAAAGTTAACCTTTTTACATTAAATAACAACCAAAAACATAATTTACTATTCCTAAACAAAATAAATAGTAGGTAAATTCACCTGCTCCTAAACTACGGCAGCAAAATCCATGTTCTCATTATTAGATTTAATTATAAAGTATGTTCAAGTTTTGCCTCTAAAAGGAATGTTTAGTGAACACTAGGATTAAAGTTTGAATAGATATTGTAAGAAGGTAAAAATCACAGGGGACCATTATCTGGCAAACTACTGAACAGCCCTAATCATATATTTTTAAATATGTAAAAAATTATCCTTGGAGAAATCAGGTGTCCCTGATTTTATATTGCATAGCAATTTGCCAGTTTCTTATTCAGTGTTGTCCAGTAAGCATCCACGATTCTAACTACTTGCTAATGGGATCGACTCCAAAAGCCAAAGGCAATGCAAGTGTGTAGGGAGGATGCATATACTTAACGTATACATCATTAGGATTTTGCCTTAGGACAGTTTGCGTGAACATTTAACACTCCGATAGGCAGTCCTTTGGAATGCCTACTGCTGAACTTCCATGGTGGCACCCCCAGCAACAGGTGATACAATGCTTCTAGAACAGCCAAGAGTCTCTACCCTGTGAAGAGTGACAGGCAAGAATCTGAGTGTGAGGGAAGGTCACTCGCCGTGAAAGCGCTTCGTGTTGCACAGGAGCTTGACTGACAACTAGCAGAAAGCCCATCGTATCACAAATAAAAATTATACGTTTTAATGGTTAACATGCTGCTGAAGTAACAGAAAAAGAAAAAACCCCAAACTGAAAAACAAACAAACTATAAGACAATTACTCTTTTATTTGAAGTTAGTTTTGACCATGGAGCCCAAAATTTAATGGAGGCTGAGAATGATTGGATGATATACATATTATTATTCATTAAACCAAAGCTACCAGAAAACATATTTATATGAAGGGGAAAAAAAAATCACAAAATATGTAACATTTTTAAACTCTAAAACCTTTCATGTAAGAAAAAAAAATACCCAGAAATGGTCTTAGTTTATGTTAAAACATACAATATCCTTTCAAGAAAAGTGAAGATGAATGTGTGCCACAGGAGGGATGTTAATTAGGAATTGAGAGATACTCGGACGTGGGCATGTTTGAGAAACACTTGTTGAAGTCTTCAACAACGCTTCCTTGAAAATACATCAAGTATGCTACGAAGGAAACTATATTATAATGTCAAGTGCTTCTACACATTGTCTGCAGAAATGTAAGTAAAACTGCAGCACCACAAAAATAAATTCATTTGCAGATGATAATGTACACTCAAACATATGGAAAAAAATGGCATGCTTTCAGGATTAATTTATTAAACATTTCAAGCAAAAGAACATGCAAAATAAATATAGCACACATGCATGTTCACAAGACGCACTGGACTACAAAATAATTAGTGGAACTAAGTTTAGTCTTCAGTTATAAAAAGGTACAAGAAAAAAAAAAAAAAGAAGACCATGGATTTTCTTGTTTAAAAAAATGCAGGAGTTAATAGTTTTCCCAAGCTCAGCATATTGCTTAAATTGCGTGGTCCCTTTTCTTTTGTTTTCATTTTACTTACAAGTATTGCATTCATTCCTGATGCAATGCCATAGCTCAAACCTGAGACGCGTGCTGCATATGTATACTCTTTTAAATCATCCTTCAATAACCTGATAAACAGGTATGTCATGTTGCAATGGAGAGGATCAGCATAAATGTAGCGACTAACGAAAAGAAAAACAAAAGAAATGCTTTGATACCTCAAGCAGTGGCATGGTAATGAAAAAACATGACCGAAGAGTATGGATATGCAGCCTCATGGTCTGGGTTTCTAGGGAAACAGAACTGGCCAACCTTACATCTCACAAAGTGAGGTAACGTTATTCTCTTTCACCAAAAACCAAGACTTCACACATAGAAATGAGTGGGATCTAAACCTAGATTGGGATCCAATATTGTGTGAGGAAAAAAAAAGATATATATATATATGACAACCTGATGAAGGATGCTTGAAAAAAAAAAGGCAAATTTGCATAATATGAATGATACGCAACTGACACTTAGAATGAGGGGGCTAACTTAAAAATTGCAAGGTGAGAAAATAGGATTAGCATGAACAGCTTCAAGAAAGAAATTAAAACTCATACCCTCAAATCAAAAATGCTTCCATCAAATCAATATAAAAATGTTGATGAGTGGAAGGCTCTAAGTCGTGGGTACTTACATACATCCCATAGATGGTATTTTGGAGGTCATAGCTCAAGCCTGCTAGTTCTGCTGCATATGCATACTCGTTGAGCGAGTCTTTGAGGAGCTCAAGGTACAAATAAGCCATGTTACAGTGCAAGGGGTCCACATAAGCAAATGGGCTGGAAGAAAATGTTGACAGTAAAATAGCTGATTTATTACTTCCCAATGTGATATGGCCTTTCGAGAGGGATCAATAAATTGAATACTGATTAAAATGATTTCTTGAAGATCTGGATGAGTTTTTAAGTCTGCTTCTTCTCATAAGGAAAGGAAAAAGAGATATTTGAAAAAAACTATCTTGAAATATGCTCTGTCTATGCTACAAGGGAATAGTTTATTCCAAAGGGTGTAACAGAACTGACAAATAGAAGTGGAGGGCAGCCAAGGGGTGTGAAGAAGGCACGGCAGAGGCTGATGGAATATTTGCATAGCCTCTTTCCCCAGTCAAGTCATACCCGTGGGGGGCAGGACGATGAGACAAAAAACTGAGACTCTGGAAGTGCTAGCTTATGTCTGGAGTTTTGCCAAGAACAATAAGGCCACTGGTAAAATCTATCATACAACTACAGCCAGCATCACAAAATAAGGTTAAAAAAAGGAAATTGGCCCTGGCATGGCTAAAGTGGCTAAAGTTTTCGCCTTGCATGCACTGGGATCCCATATGGACACCGGTTCATGTCCTGGCTGTTCCACCTTGCTTCCAGCTCCCTGCTTATTACCTGGAAAAGCAGTCAAGGACAGTCCAAAGCTTTGGGACCCTGCACTTGTGTGGGAGGCCTGAAGAAGCTCCAGGCTCCTGGCTTCAGATTGGCTCAGCTCCAGCTGTTGTGGTCACTTGGGGAGTGAACAATCAGATGGAAGATCTTTCTCTCTGTCTCTCCTTCTCTATGTAAATCTGACTGATATAAATAAATAAATCTTAAAATTCTTTTTAAAAAGGAAATTGAGAGTAACAAAACACGTAATAATTATAGAATGTAGGGGCTAAATACAATCACAGAGATCATGTTAAGCTTCATTTCCCAGATCAGAATATAATTGTTCTTGGGTTACCTGGGTTGACAGCAGCAGAGCTGGTACTAAACGCAAGTCAACGGATCCCAAATTTCTAACTGTGTAACATTGACTACCTTCAAAAAAAGCAAGTAAAGGGTTCATTCATTCAGCCTCTGCACTATATCCTCACTAACAGTGCCTGCCTCTTCTATAGATGCTGGGAACAAAGGAGGAGCAAATCAGGCAAAGCCACTGACCTCACAGAGCTTGTAGTCTAGTTGGAGGAAACAGATAAAACATTTAAATCTGGAGCATCACATGGCAATACTGGAGAAAATAAATAGAGTAGTATGGAGCAAGATGAAGCTGACTGAGGGAAATAAAGGAGAAAGGGCAGCATCAGGGAAGGCAAACTGCTGGTTTCCATAAGAAGTCGCTCCATTCTAACAACATGACATTTGGACTCAAAGCTGAGTGCAGCAAGGGAGGAATTCCTGAATTAAATGGAAGAAAAACTTCGACATCTATCTAAACATTCTCCAGTTAGAAAAATCTAAGTAAACACTTCGTTCATTTACTTTTAAAAGTATTACACATATGAGAGAGTAAACAGCATCTCAGAAACTTAAGGTATGATTCTGACATCTCTTCCCACCCACCAACCCAGAGCTCAGTTACATGGACAGTCGTATGTCTCTATATCTTTCTTAGGTGGAAGTAAAGCCAGAAAAACCAAACCCAGGAGCTCAAAATGGTGTGGCTGAACCACACAATGCAACTCTTAAGAAGTGTCCTCAAGTGCTGCATTTGAGTAGCTGTGTCAGTGAACTGGAGGGGATTCTAAACTAATTTTTGAAAAAGAACACGAATCAGTTGAAGGATTTAAATTTCCATTCAATTGTTAATTTTAAAAATATACTCTTTCATAATCAGATATTGGATGCTTAAATACAAATCTCGGGTCTTAAAAAAAAATGACTAATTAGAGCTGTACTAAATACAGCAGTTAAGAAGTTGCCTGGGGCCCGGCACGATGGCGCAGTGGTTAAGGTCCTCGCCTTGCATGCCCGTGATCCCATATGGGCGCCGGTTCTAATCCCAGCAGCCCCTCTTCCCTTCCAGCTCCCTGCTTGTGGCCTGGGAAAGCAGTCGACGACGGCCTAAGGCTTTGTGACCCTGCACCCAAGTGGGAGACCTGGAAAAGGCTCCTGGCCTGGCTCTCAGCTTCTGATCAGCTCGCTTTAGCCCTTGCAATAATTTGGGGAGTGAACCAGCAGATGGAAAACTCTTCTCTCTGTAGATATCCCTTTCTCATAAAAATAAATCTGAAAAAAAAGAAGAAGAGGAAGAAGAAGTTGCCTGGGACAAATGTATCCCACACTACAGTGTAGGAGTTCAATTCCTGACTCCACTTCAGGGTCTGGATTCTTCCTAACGCGCACCCTGAGAAGCAGCAGGTGGTTGGATTTCTGCCATTTATGTGAAAGACTCAGACTGAGTTCCAGGTATTTGGCATTGGTCTGGCCTAATCCCAACTGTGCAGGCATTTGTGAAATAAACCAGTGGGTGGAAGATCTCTGTCAGCTGACTATTCATTGCCTTTCAAATAAGTAATAGTTTTGTTTTAAATAACTAAATATATGTAATACAGTTTCTGAAGACAAAAGTATACACAGACATACAGAAAAATTTTTGTTAAAATGTACAAGAAACTGAACAGCGGTTACCTGGAAGAAAACCAGACCACAAAAATGGTATTTGAAGAATGCAGTCTTTAATTCTAGGTACTGTACTAGGCAGTTCAGAGAAGATGCAAATATGAGGTGGCCTCCCAAAATATATTCAGGGGTGGAGGGGTTGGGAAGGTGAGCATTTGGCCTGGTGGTTAAGATGGTGATTAAGATGTCCACATCTCATATAAAAAATGCCAGACTTGCTACATGGTACTGCTCCTGCTCCTGACTCCAGTCTCCTGCTGTACAGACCTGGGAGGCACCAGAGATGCCCAAGCAACTTCTGTCCAACATGTGAAAGACCCAAATGAGTTCCCAGGTCTCAGCTGTGGCCTCAGTGGGATTGTGTCGCAGCATTTGGGAAGTGAGCTAGCAGATGGGAGCTCTGTGTCACTGCTTCTCTCTCTCAAATAAATATTTTTTAAAAAGATATTCTGAAGATCTTCATACTCTTAGGATGCAAATGGAAAAGAGACTGCTTGGAATGTCATCTCATGTATAAGGAACTGGCGCAATGTATAGTAGGCCAAGTTTCTCCATGCAGTGCTGGTATTCCATTTGGTGCTGGTTCAAGTCCTAGCTGTTCCACCTCAGATCCAGATCCCTGCTTATTTCATGCGAAATCAGTGGAGGATGGCCCAAATCCTTGGGACACTGCTTCCATGTGGAAGACCTGGAAGAAGCTTCTGCCTCCTGGCTTCGGATCAACTGAGCTCTAGCTATTGCAGATATTTGGAGAGTAAACTAGTGGATGGAAGATCTCTCCCTGTTTCCCCTCTGTTTTTAACTCTGCCTTTCAAATAAATAAACAAATCTTCTAAAAATACATAACTCAGCACAATTAAAAAAAATCTGTGAATCTATGATACTAAATATAGTACTACATCCCTACAACCTGAACATATATATGGGTAAGATATTAAATTTTAATTTAGATATGCTTTTTCCTTTTCCAAAAATCTGAAACACATCCAGCTTTAATTTTTTGTCAAGGCAAAAAATAAAAAGTGATGGAAACCTGATCATCATACTGAATATTACTACAAGAGGACAAGTCCATTTCACTAACAGAGACCACTACGCTTTAGAAATATAAAATTACAAACTCGCAAAGTAAAATTTGAATCGGGTGATAATCAGGCAAGTGAAAGGAGACAGACATGTACTGAAGGTATTAAGAAATAATTGCAGGGCCTGACACAGTAGTCTAGCGACTAAAGTCCTCGCCTTGCTTGCATCAAGATCCCTTATTTATGCCTCTTTGTATCCCGGCTGCTCCACTTTCCTTCCAGCTCCCACCCAGCTTGTGGCCTGGGAAAGCAGTTGAGGATGGCCCAAAGCCTTGGGACCCTGTACCCATGTGGCTCCTGGCTTCAGAATGGCTCAGCCACTTAGGCCACTTGAGGAGTGAACCAGCAGATGGAAGAATTCTCCGCAAATCTGACTTTCCAATAAAAATAAATAAATCGTACAAAAAAGAAAAGAAAAAGAAATGATTACAGGTGTTTGTGTGGCATAATAGGTTAAGCCACACAACAATGGTTAAGCCTACAACAATGGGGCTGGAATCACAGTTGCTCTGCTTCCAATCCAGCTCTCTGCTAATGTACCTGGGAAAGCACTAGGCTCTCGGTATTAGGCTCTCAGCTTTCAGCCTGGTCTAGCCACAGCTATTGTGGCCATTGGAGAGTGAACCAGTAGATGCAAGATCTGTCTCCCCTTTTCTCCGTCATTTTGCCTTTCAAATAAACAAATAAATCTTGAAAAAAAAAACCTCATTGCAATTATAATATTATTCATAAACCTTACTAAATATCTTTCCTCTTTTTACTAAGTAATTTTAAAGTATCTAAATAGAAATTAGAAAAAGCATCAGAAAATTAAAAGACTGGAGAGGACTCACATCATTTGGTCACTTTCTATGTAAGTTCCAGGAGTACAAAGCTAAAATGATGGAAAACCTTATTTTCTCAATGAATCCTATGTATAAATGTACAGCCTCCCCAGATTCCAAATTCTTGAAAGTTAGGCAGGCCTAACCACAGCTGATAACAATCGCTTCTGTCAAAAGAACGTGTGTTCATCACAAAAAGAAAAGAGAATCAAGAACTTCATCTAGACCACATGGCTTGAATTTAAAAAAAAATTATAGACATGTATGAGCAAGACAGACAAACACCTAGAGTAACTGTTGATTTTTATGAAAAACTTAATAGTTGAGTTCACATTACATACCTGAAAAATTCAAAGTTGAGACAAGCCTTTGGCAAGAAAAACTTGTCATCTTGTTTGAACCAGAGCTTGCTCATAGCTGTATCCTGTGACGGAGAAACAAACAAGAAAATTAGGGCACATTAAGCAAAAATGTCCGGTCAGATCACTCTTCAAGAGAAGGCACACTTAGGCATCATCTTAGAATTCTGCTCTGGAGGCTGCTGTCCCAAGGCCCTGAAACATGTTCGCAGTCAGCAGGTAAGAAGCTAGACAGGAAGTCTACTGACTACTGTGGGAGAAAACGGTCTTCAGTGTTCTCTGGATTTGGGAGATGGGGACGTAGTGGAGGAAGAGATGAGAGAAGCCAATAGCAATGGTTCCATTTTCACCTTTCCGGACATGGTGGGGGCAGACAGATGGTGGTGTTGCAGTGAGCGTCCAAGGTGGCCCACAATGAGCCCTGCCTGTGGGGCTTCATAGGAGTCGTTCCCTGATTGGACCAGAGTTGGTCTGCTTGAATAACAGAACATGACAAAGATGATGGTTTGACGCCTACAGGATTAGACTGTGAAAGACACTGGGCTCACGGCCAGCCCAGAGGCAGAGCTGGCTAATTCTCTTTCTGTGGGATCAGCAAACCATTTGGGTCCCCATTGTTCCACCTCTAATCCAGCTAATGTGCCTGAGAAAACAGTGGAAGATGGCCCAAGTCCTTGGGCCCCTGTACCCAAGTGGGAGTCCCAGAAGAAGCTCTTTGCTAAACTTTGAGATGACAGAACTGAACTTTCAGAACTACCCACTCTAGCTAAACTTTCAGATGACAGTTGCTCAAAGATAAATTTCATGTTCTTAAATACCTTGTCCCACTGAGTATATCTGAACTTTAGATAATTCATGAATGGTATATATTCATAGTCATTAGTTTACGGGTTTGGAAACAGAATATACTGTAACCGTTTAATATATTTCTCTACACAATTTACCCAAGGGGTGAAAAATGACGTTCTGAGGGGCTGGTACTTGAGTACAGCAAGCATCATATACCAGAGTGCCAGTCAGAGTCCTAAATACTCTGTTTCTTGTTCAGCTTTCTATAGATCTTTTCCTGCACCTGGGAAAGCAGCAGAAGATGGCCAATGCTTGGTACTTGCCACCTAAGAGGAAGACCAGGATGCAGTTCTTGGTTCCTGACTTCAGCAAGGCCCAAAAGTGGCTCCTGTGAGCCTTTGGAGAGTGAATGAAAAATAGAAGACCTCTTTTTATCTCTCTACTCTTGAGAATCTCATAGCCTAAGGAAAGGAAAGGGAAAGGGAAAAAGGAAAAAGGAAAAAGGGAAGGGAAGGGAAGGAAAGGGAATGGAAGAAAGGAAAAAGTTCTGAAAAAGAGTAAAAAGTTGGGCCCGGCGCGGTGGCGCAAGTGGTTAAAGGTCCTCGCCTTGCACGCCCGGGATCCCATATGGGCGCTGGTTCTAATCTCGGCAGCCCCGCTTCCCTTCCAGCTCCCTGCCTGTGGCCCAGGAAGGCAGTCGAGGACGGCCCAAAGCTTTGGGAACCTGCACCCGCGTGGGAGACCCGGAAGAGGCTCCTGGCTTCGGATCGGCATAGTATCGGCCCGTTGCGCTCACTTCGGGAGTGAATCATCGGACGGAAGATCTTCCTCTCTGTCTCTCCTCTCTGTATATCCGCCTTTCCAATGAAAAAAATAATAAAGATAAATCTTTAAAAAAAAAAGAGTAAAAAGTTCACTTCTGAGTCATCCTTTCACTTTATTATCTTCATATAGCCTCCGTGTCATAAGGAAAATTGCTTTTACACACAGAAAAAAACACAAAAGTTTCTCCTAGACACACTTTCTTCTAGGCTGCAGATACTATTTCTTAGAATCTCTAAGTTTCTTTTTTTATCTTATTTATTTATTTTTTCTTATCTCTAACTTTCAACAGGCAGCATTAACCTATGCTCTTACTGGATCTTCAGTGGATATGAAAAAAAAAAGCTATTATCTTTTCATAGAAATGTGGTTGTAACCCAGTTTTCTTCCCTTGTGAAGTTAATTTTCTGAACTCTATGCTGCTTAGCAAACTTCTTTGCTTTCATATTTTAACCTTTAAAATTTCTAACTTCAATTTTTCTGACTTAACAAAAAAAATTTTTTTTGAAGATTTATTTATTAGTATTGGAAAGACAGATATACAGAGAGAAGGAAAGACAGAGAGGAAGATCTTCTGTCTGATGATTCACTACCCAAGAGCCACAATGACTGAAGCTGAGCTGATCTAAAGCCAGGAGCCTGGGGTTTCTTTCAGGTTGCTCACGCACGTGCAGGGTCCCAAGGCTTTGGGCTGTCCTCGAGTGCTTTTCCAAGCCACAAGTAGACAACTAAATGAGATGCAGGGCTGCCGGGAGTAGAACCAGCACCCACATGGGTTCCCAGTGCATGCAAGGCAAGGACTTTAGCCACAAGGTCACTGCACTGGGACCGACTTCAAAATTTTTATTTATTTTCATCTTATTTGAAAGGCAGAGAAACAGACAATTCCATCTATTAATTCACTCTCGTCTATAAGTGCTCATAAATAGCTGGGGCTTGGCCATGCTGAAGCTAGAAACTTTCACTCCTGGTCTCCCGTGTAGGTAGCATGGAACCAAACGTTTGAGCCATCATTTGTTGGTGCCCAGGTATACATTAGCATGAATCTAGAATCTGAAGCACAGCCGGAATGCAAGCCCAGACATAGCAATACAGGATGTAGATATTTCAAGCATCATTTTAAGGTGCTGCCTGACAGGTCCAAATATCTGGACCTTCCTACTATTTCTTGTAGCTATTCTTCCTGCTGTGTTTCTGTCATTCTTAGCATGTGAACTTCCAAGTCAATAAAACACCAAATACAAGAAGTCATCTCTCAAGCTTGCCATGAAATAATAACCTCTTACCTTTATAAGAGCAGGATATGGGGTTGCCTCTTTTTCTAAAGGTAAAATCTCAAAATTTGTAGGAATAAATTCATTCTTTGTTGGCAGCTTGAATTTTCCATTTAGGTCAGCATTTTGCCATTTCTAGATGAAAAAATATGCAAAAGCAATGCATCTGATTCAGGAGTTTACAACACCCAAATACTAAAAGAATAAATGTTATACAACATTCCTTTCCATCCATTATCTATTAGACATCACTACCGGTTTTGAATTAAAACTGAGTCCTTCTGTACTAAAGTAGATTTTGCATTCATCTATCTTTCCTCTGCACATCTCCAAAATGACCAGGTAAAGAACAATTTGAGACTAGAACATGCAGAATTTTCCTAACCCATAGGAAGATCATGTGTGTTCTAGCTCTTTAAAAGAAGGCAGAATAATCTGTGCACGGACACAGTCCTGCAACTGATAGACAACAAATCATTTATATAAACTGTACCCTCAGCTCTGTTAAGTTAATTCAATGCATGGTCTGAAGTCCAGACTAAAGGTGCCTCTTTTCTTAAAATTTATTATTTTAATTTTTAAAAAATTTTATTTATTTATTTTATGATACAATTCCATAGATTCTGGGATTTCCTTTATCCTCTCTCAAAATTCCCTCTCCCCAATTGACTTCCCTTATATTATTACAGTAAGTATAGTTCTTCATAAGCAGTCGTTAAGTCCATCATTCTGCTACTTAAGTGCATCCTGCCATTGCTGAGACAATGGCAGAGTCCAGCATCCTACTGTGAAGATACATTCAACAGTTTCACTGAGAGTCCATCTTTGATTTGGAAGTGAAGATGCATAACGAATGTACCTTCACATCTGGATATGAGTCTCTATTACACAGTTACTATCTATTCCCTGAAATTAAAAGCCACAAAAGAAGGTCAACAACAGAATTAAAGATTAAAAATTTACAATGCTATGAAGTTAAAAAAAAAAACAACTACTGAATGACTAATGTGTCACTGAAATGAAAAACAAAATCAAAAACCTTCTTGGAGAAAATGATGCTACTCTACGATTTATGAGTCAGTGAAGAATTTAATAAGAGAAAAGAAATTATTTTGAAGAAATAAAAATAAAAACAAAAATATCAAAACCCATGAGTTGAAGCAAAAAAGGGCTGTTGATCTATTCTGCATGACGGTTGCCTTATATCAGAGAGAACATACGGGGTACTTCAATGAGCATAATGGTCTCTAGTTGGGACCATTTGGTTGCAGATAATAGAATTTCATTATTTTTAACGCTTGAGTAGTATTCCATGCAGTGGTGTACCACAGTTTCTTTATCTACTCGTCTTTTGACAGGCATCTGGGTTGTTTCCATGTCTTTGCTATTGTAGATTGTGCTGCTGTAAATATAAGATTACAGATCCCTTTCCAATATGCAGATCTCATTTCCTTTGGATACATTCCCAGCAGGGGGACAGCTGGGTCATATGGAAGGTTTATTTTCAGTTCTCTTAGCACTCCACATACTGACTTCTATAGTGGTTGTACTAGCCTACACTCCCACCAACAGTGGAGGATAGCTTTCTTCCCACATCCACACCAGCAGATGCTGTTAGCAGAGTTCTGAATATAGGTCACAGTATTACTTCTTTTTTTTTTTTTTTCCACAGTATCACTTCTTAAGGCCCAGCTCAAACTTCTTTCAGATGAACTTTCAAGTGAAACAGTAATGCAAGCACAAGATTAAAGGAAAAAACTGAGATTTAAATTTGGATTGATTAAAAACATGCAGTTTGGATCTGTTTCATGAATTACAAAAGTTAAATGGAATAGACTACTGATTGTTGAACCCCAATTTACAAGACTTTACATTGCTGAAGAATAAAATAAAATGTGCTTGGTTTTCAATAACTCCGTGTTCAGTGATTTGGTCTCCAGCTGATGTGGCACACAGCCTGGCAGATTCTGTAGTTTATTCTGGTTCCTGCATTTGTGGCTTTTGGCACTTGGATTCAGCTGACACTGGCCATACTATTTGAGCAGCAGCTTAAATCTCTAGAATAGCTGAACAGTAGGGACTAGGAAACAGTAGGTAATTTCACTGTTGAGCACCCAGATAAATTTGTTTTTAAGAAATTAAACTTAACCTATTCAATGTTAAGTTTGTTGGGGTTAGAATTTAATGAACAGGGGGAACTCTTTCCTGTTTCAGGATTATTTCAAATTCAGCTCTAATTCATAGGAAACTGCTTTTCTCAGAATGTAGAAAGTTGGATATTCAGCACCCTAGAAGGCTTCAGTGCCCCCGTCCCATGAGTAGAGCTCCCCCAAACAGCAATGATGACTTCCTTTCTGGTTATTTCTTCTTTTTCTGTTGTTATCATTATGGAGGCACATTTAAAAAAAAAAAAGTCTACAACTTGAATTTTCCTAGAAACTAATCAGTGGAAGGCTTTCTAGTATCTTCTCACAAATAAAGTTTTGACTCTCAAGGATACACAGCCGATGAGAACCAAAAGACAAAATCTTGATGACTGATGAATGTGGTAAAATACTGTTGAAACATATCTGCTTTCAAATAAACCATAATCCTCTATTCTGACAGAAAGAGCAATGATGATAATAATGAGGCATAAAAAAATAGCACCTCACAGAGGGAAGATGGGCTGAATCCCAGAGTGGAATACTTCTAGCTCATGTTCAAAAATTGTGAGCTCTCTGGAGCCCCTGCATAATCTATCTTTCATGCTCCCCACTGTCTCTACCTGGTGGGCTTTTCATGGAGTCTTGCTTCTCTGTGTAAGTAGCCTGTAGCTCAAAGCCCTTGGCCTGTATGAGGCTGGGAATCTGCTTTACAGCCCTACCAATGTGACAAACTCAACAATAAGGGCAAGAATGTCATTTCTCCATGGAAAAGCCCAAAATGTCAGTTCTCTTTCCTTGTTCAGTCTTCCCAAGATGGCACATATAACAATGAACTCCACGCCCTGGGCCCTGAGTCGGTGATTGCAAGGAGTTCATGTTCTTGTAATTCCCCAGCAAGGTGGTTAACCCTACCTTAATGACTTCATCTGGTATAGCTTCTTGTTTGTACTGAGTTCCGTACCACTCTTCGGTGCGATCAGTTTTTCCTTCAAAAGATTTGGACACTATTGCAACCCTACAGACGGATGGAAAAAGCAAACAAAAGAAATTGACCCACCAAAATCTAAGAAATATTCAAGAATGTGGTGAGCTAGCAAACCCTGGCAGGCTCAGCCCAGGCAGGCAATATTATGTTCAGTGCCTATTGTCCTTTGGTTCTAGTCCATGATGCTGAGAGCGAAAAAGTGCTTATAGAGACTCTGCCAGGTATACTACTGACTAATTTACAAAAACTGTCAGGAAAACCACTGAACAAGATTGGGTGAAAGGAGCCCTTTAAAAATGTATTCCTCTCAGGAAAAATTCAGGACGAAATTAACAGAAAAAGCTAACAAAATCTGTTGGTTCATCAGCAAAAAACTCACAAGCAAATTAAATGGAATTTTATTATTACTTGTTGAATTTGGCTGTTCTTTCCTGCCAGCCACTGACAACAAACATTTATATTGGCCTTCTTCCTGCTCAAGGGGGAAGGTGATAAGACCATAAAATGCCTAACTTGTGGTTTATACATGTTTTCTTTGATGGGACAGCAGAAACAGCCTAGAAGTCATGTGGAAAGAAAAAACATTCAAGGGCAAAAGGTAGAGGCAAAACGATATCAAAAGAAAGTGAATAAAAGATTACAAGAGTAGATCAAAAGAATATATCTGCAACTCTACGTTGCTGGAACATCAGTTCAACATAGGTAATTGGAACAACACAGATAATTGCTGCCTTTTAATTAGCTGGTTCGAATCATGACACTCCCACCAGCAGACTTAACCTCGGCCTAGGCACAATCCTATTTTGAATCTTGTGGGTCAAGGAATTTCAGCCAATTAGCTTGCATGATTTGGTTCAGTTAGTCCTGGTTCTGGTTTTCCCTTATGTCCCAATTCAAATAACCAGGCTCACATCTGTTCTCGCTTGTTCTCCTCACCCAGCCCCACCCCAAAGACTTGGCTCCAGCCTCTGAAAACACGCCTCACAGCTGGAACCATAATACTAGAAATCACTTTCCCTTTGCCAAATAACAATTCGTTTTCAGAATTTGAAACACCTACCCCTTATTGGATCTCTACAACTTTCATAATATCTAGACTGTCTTCTATTACTCATTCTAGCTAAGATTCTCTACCTGGCTGACTCAAATTGGTCTTATCACCTACTCTGCAGTACACATTCCAATCAACCCAACTCCCTCATCTGCCAATATGACTAATCTGGCTCCAAATATTCTTGGTCTGACCTAACACTGGTTGCCAATGGTTTTAGAAAACATGTGAAATAAGAAATATATTCCATAGGAACACAGAGAGGAGTCAGTGTTTAGCAAATGAATGTTTCATTATGATGTTCAGAAGGAAGTCACGTGAGTTGGTAATTTGAGAATGCCTTTAGGGAGGGGCCTGTACAAAGTGTGCAGAATTCACATGGCCACATGAAGTCTGAGTGTTACTTAAGGGAATTCAATATATGATGGAGCCCCAAATACATGATTTGGCCCCCAGAAACTGCTTCTATTCCTGTTACTTCTTAGAGGGTTAATTAGTTAGGAGATCTGTAAAAAGTATACTAGAAGAACCCAGTAGAGGGGCGAGATTCCGTGGAATGCTTGATTTTGAAATCACTCATCACACACATGACTCTGGTTCCCTTGGAAGACAGCCCAGAGAACAAAATAATGAGACAGGGACTGAAAACAACTGGTGAAACCTAAAACATACATTTGGCAGTAGATTTGTGCTCTGAAACAAGAAAACTAAAAAATCAATTCTGAGACAACAAAAATGTTCAGATAAGCCAGGTGCTCTGGAAGATGACTAAACTCTCACGGCACAAGAGGCAGCAAGCACTGGAGGATGTCCAACAGACTCAGATTTTACAAAATGGAACACAGATTGTCAGGTATAACCTTTAGGAATTTAGGGCCCGGCGGCATGGCCTAGTGGCTAAAGTCCTCGCCTTGAACACACCGGGATCCCATATAAGTGCCGGTTCTAATCCTAGCAGCTCCACTTCCCATCCAGATCCTGTTTGTGGCCTGGGAAAGCCATCAAGGATGGCCCAAAGCCTTGGGACCCTGCACCCACGTGGGAGACCTGGAAGAAGCCCCTGGCTTCAGATCGGCGCAGCATTGGCTGGCGGTCACTTGGGGAGTGAATCACTAGATGGAAGATCTTCCTCTCTGTCTCTCCTTCTCTCTATATATCTGACTTTGTAATGAAAATAAAATAAATCTTTTAAAAAATTTAAAAATATCTGTAGGAACTTAGTTATATTTGCCAAAGTAAGGTCTACAGGGGATATTGGAAATGGTGTTATTAGGAAGTAAACCTGAAGTATATACAGTTTCTCAAACTAGGCACACACCAAATAGCAGACTAGCAAAAGAAGCCTTTGCCAACTAAAAGTTCCCATATCATGAAGAAATTCACAAATGATACACACAATGGAAAGGAGCTTATTTAAAAAAACACATGAATGAAGGGAAACGAAGTAACAGTAGAGACATAGTACACGCACAGCAAACCATATAGAAATCTATGAATCAAAATGGGACAGGCATTAGTCCTAATGCTTAAGATACTGGTTAAAACATTCATTCCCCACGTCAGAGTGCCTGGCTTTGAGTCCTGGCTCCAGAGTCCAGCATGCTGATGAGGGGAAGCCTGGGAGGCAGCAGACGAATGATGGCTAAAGTTGTAGGAGGCCCTTGCCATCCAAAAGTGAGATTCGACTTGAGTTTCTAGGACCCAGCTTTAGCCTGACCCATTCCTAGTATGCATTTGAGGTATGGGCCCAAGAATGGGACCTCTCTGTGCTCCTGATTCAATAACAACAACAACAAGAAGGAAGTCCAAGAAAGAACTGAATTAGGAGGAAAAGGCAAGTTACAGTCAGCAAAGTATGTGACACATAGCTGTAGTACGTTGGCTTAATTGCTGACAGTTGAGAAGAACTGTCTGTATAGCCACTATATTATTTACAGTCTCTACTGAAAACCTTATTAAAAAGTTGTCTTGGGGCCCAGCACGGTGGCGCAGTGGTTAAGGTCCTCGCCTTGCACGCCTGGGATCCCATATGGGCGCTGGTTCTAGACCCGGCAGCCCCGCTTCCCTTCCAGCTCCCTGCTTGTGGCCCGGGAAAGCAGTCGAGGACGGCCCAAGGCTTTGGGACCCTGCACCCGCGTGGGAGACCCAGAAGAGGCTCCTGGCTTCAGATCGGCATAGCATCGGCCGTTGCGCTCACTTGGGGAGTGAATCATCGGACGGAAGATCTTCCTCTCTGTCTCTCCTCTCTATATATCTGCCTTTCCAATAATAAAAATAAATCTTAAAAAAAAAAGTTGTCTTGGCCCTGGCGCAGTAGTCTAGTGGCAAAAGTCCTCGCCTTGCACAGGCTGGGATCCCAAATGGGTGCTAGTTTGTGTCCTGGATACTCCACTTCCCTTCCAGCTCCCTGTCTGCGGCCTGGGAAAGCAGTTGAAAATGACCCACAGCCTTGGGACCCTGCACACGTGGGAGAGACCCAGAGGAAGCTCCTGGCTCCTGGCTTCAGATCAGCGCAGCATCGGCCATTGTGGCTACTTGGGGGAGTGAACCAACGGACGGAAAACCTTTCTCTCTATATCTCCTTCTCTCTGTACATCTGTCTTTTCAATAAGAATAAATCTTTACAAAAAAAAAGTGTTGAGGACAGGAATTTCTGAAACACAACAGGGTGCAGATGGAGGTATGCTACCAAAGCGATCCTGAGAAAACGACCTTATCCTCTGCATACTGAAGCTTACAACAGTGAGAACAGGAAACAGTAAGCTAGAATGAATGCTACAGCCTGTGAGTCCAACTGCTAATGTGGAACCTGGGACACAGTGGTGACAGTTGAAGAAATTAAGTCCCTGCCACCAATCTGTGAGACCTGGGTTGAATTCCTGGCTCCCAGCTTTGGCCTTTGTCCTCCTGCTCCGCCACTGAAAGGACTTCAGGAATAAATCAGCAGATGGCAGCATACTCTCTTCTCTCAAAACTTAAAAAAAAAAAAAATATATATATATATATATATATATATAGGGGGGAAATGTTGAAAATCATTTTAATGGGCTTTTTTTCTTTTTTAAGATTTATCTTTTTATTACACTTAGAGAGTATGGCAGAGAGATCTTCCTCTATCAGTTTACTCCCCAGATGGCCACAATGGCGAGGAGGTAGGCTTGGTCTAGGTCTTTCACATGGATAGCAGGGAGCTGGATCAAGAAGGGGAAAATCTGGGACCTGAGCCGGCATCCATATGAAATACCGTCATCGCAGGGACCTGACTTTATCTACTATACCACAATGCTGGCCCCTAAAATGGGTTTTCTTTCTTTCTTAAATATTTATTTATTTTCTTTTTTTTTTTTTAAGATTTATTTATTTTTATTACAAAGTCAGATATACAGAGAGGAGGAGAGACAGAGAGGAAGATCTTCCATCCAATGATTCACTCCCCAGGTGACAGCAATGGCCGGTGCTGCGCCGATCTGAAGCTGGGAGCCAGGAACCTCTTCCAGGTCTCCCACGCGGGTGCAGGGTTCCAAAGCTTTGGGCTGTCCTTGACTGCTTTCCCAGGCCACAGGCAGGAAAGTGGATGGGAAGTGGAGCTGCTGGGATTAGAACCAGCGCCCATATGGGATTCTGGTGTGTTCAAGGCGAGGACTTTAGCCACTAGGCCATGCCACCGGGCCCTATTTATTTACTTTTAAAAGTCAGAATTACAGAGAGAGGAAGAAAGAGAGATTTTCCATCAACTGGTTCACTCCTCACATTGTAGCAATAACCAGCATAGGCTGCACTGAAGTCAGCAGTTAGTTGCAGGTGGCAGAGACCTAAGCACATGGGTCATCAGCTTCTGCTTTTCATAGGTCATTACTAGGGAGCTCGGTGGAAGTGGAGCAGCTAGGACACAAACTGGTACCCATATGGAGTGCCAGAATTGTAGGGAGCAGCTTTCCTGTTACCAACACTGGCTCCTAAAATTTTTTTTTAATATTTA